AATGCTATCCTTTCTCGCTTGAGTGAGGCTTACCTCGCTTGAGCAAGAATGCTCCACAACGTCCAGTCTAGAAAATATCTGTCTCACTTAAGCGAGAAGTCCTGCACCAAAACTTCTATTTTACCCAAAAACAAGGGAATAAAAATGAGGGTGTTACACCACCTCTTTGTCTCTGCAAAATCCTTAGAATCAAGGTCCTCATCTGACCCGAGATAAAGATCTCCTGAATCTGTAGTGGCATACCTACTAGTAATTCGCTCAAAAGTCCATCGGGTTAGTCTTCCGAGATAATCGTGATCATGATATGTGAACAGGTAGGTCATAGCTATTGGAGTTCTAACTGTGCCTTGGTAGAGGCACATTCACGGGGTATGGCAGATTCTATTGTTTACAGGGTATGGTGGATTATATTTTCACTCGTGACTTCTCGCTTAAGCGAAACTATTCCTTCCTAAGCGAGATAACCAGACAGAAGTACCTTCTTGCCTCGATGAGACGTGGTCCAAAGAGTTCCCAATAATATAATTATTATTACATATTCTTAAGTAAATGTCTGTACTCTTTTTTCATGATAATTTAAAACTTTTTTCCTCAAGGAACCCAATTTTCCCAAACAGAGAGTGATATAAGAAAGGGTTATTGGCCTTATTTTTTTTATTGCATGTTTTAATATGATTAAGGCATAATATGATTTTTATTCTTGACCTTCAACATGTTTGAGATACAACTAGTTGTCTACTTTGAGCTTTATTTATTTTTCTTAGTCCCTTGCATTAAAATTATGAAATACTTTGTTAACCTTGAGTTTATGAATGGAGCAATTGACTTGTTGAATTGTTTGATAAATTCTCTTCTACATTTTTTATGTGCGAAAAGAAAGAAAATATGCATAAATATAAAAGAAAATAAAAAATAGCAAAAAAAGAGAAAAAGAGTTACAAATGAATGAAAGGAAGGAGAAGTAAAGATATTGATTGAATGTGAAATATAAAAAATTACTCCAAGAGCTTCATTTATAAACTTAGGGAATGTTTATAATTTTTATGACTTATTACCTCTTTGTATATCCTTTCCATTAATTTATCTCACCTCAATTATATAACCCTTTGGCCATATTACAATTTGAAAAAGACCTCATAATTTTTACTTGCATTCAATTTATTTAGTGGAAAGTTGGTTTATAGTTAAACCTATAATAGTACACTTATTTTTGGAGAAACTCAGTAATATCTTCTTTTGTCCTTAGACGCTTAGAGAAAGAAAGGAAAGTACAGTACTTTAGTTTGATGTTTGAGCAAGAAGTTAAGGAATATAAGATTTTAATTGGGAAACCTTTTGATTACTTATACTCTATGATATTACTCTCTTTGTTCTTTTTATCTCACTTGTCTCGGGTTCCTTGTTGTGATGATATGTTTCAAGTTATTTGCTTACTCTTAACCATGGCTTTACTTTAGGGTAAACAAACCTTAAGTATAGGGTAGTTTGTATTCTGACATGCTTTTACAGCTATATATCTATGTGCGACCATTATTATATCATGTTATTACAGTACGTTCTACAATTATTGTGCAGATTAATATGAGAATATCACAATTGGGTTCTTGGTTCATTTGTGATCCAAATTGGTTAGAAAATAGGGTTTGCTACAGTCAGCACACCCAGACCTTAGTAGCTAGCACGGGAGTGCTTCGACCACATGCACGGTCATGCTCACCTGCGGGAAGTCCAAATCTAAAGCAATTTTAGGATTTTCAAATCCTATTAAAGAGACATCAAGGGAAGCAACTTAAGCATCCTTTTTTATATCGTTCTCCCCACACCTTATACACATCTTTTACACAACTCTACTCTTAATCTTTTGCACATTCTTAGAGAACTTGGAACTTTGAGCGATTATACTTGAAGACTAGGAACTCTTCTCATCCCCAATCCTCAAGGATAATCTAGTTTACTATTTTCTTTTGACTATGACTTTGTTTATGATTTTTTAACTCTTTTCTCTAGCATGAGTAACGAAGTCCATAGTCAGGGCTACGAAAACTCTTGTTCATGAATTTATTTGATTTTAATGTTTGAATCTAAGTTTGATTTATGTTTGTGATTAATGTTTATCCTATTGCACATAATTGTATGTTGTGAATTAACCATTAATAACATAACCCTAATTAATTACATTATAGGTGATTGTACCATGATTAGTTAATAGATCTCTACGATAAAATGAGACAAAGGATTAGGTAGACTAAACCAATCTTTTTCTTCAAATCATGATTAAATTAGCAAGTACATAGATGTTTTATATTTTTTTTAATTGATATCTGGCATGATCATTGTGGATGTTAATTTGAAAAAAAGAATATTAATATTACATGACTATTTAGTATTTCGCATCTCAGGGTCAGAGGCCGATGAGCACATTAAACTTTGATAGTATTTGTATGAATGATTGATAATTGCAAGAAAATCATATTTAGAGTTAAACAAAAAAATAAGATAAATGCTTGAATGAGTAAATCCATATGCCCTAGGTTCCTCTTCTATAAGTTCAGTCAAGAAGTGTGTTGTGTTACATGCTTTAAATTTCATTCATAATTAATTTATTTTTATACAAGCTTAATATAAATTTCTTTGTTCAAACAATTAAATCAAGAAATTCTTAAAAATTAGAAACAATCTTTGTGGAACAATAATTCAGGAACTTAGTTTATAACTCTTTAGTAATTTTCAACAGGAATCAATCAATGATGAATTTGTCCCTTTTTTATCCTTTTATAATTGGTAAAAAAAAAATAGTACAATAACCATACCATTCTCTTCCAAAACATATAATGTGGAATTGATCCACCAGTGTATTGATCCACTAATGTGAAGAGAACACTGGTGGATCAACTACATATTTTTCACTAACCACTCCCTTTACTACTACTTATAGGTGCAACAAAACAAAGAAAACAATTAGAAAGACCACTAATGTGACCATGATGAAGACCGTGAAACAAAGTAAGTTATCTAGTAAATATTTGTAAATAAATATTGCGAGAAATGTTGAAGTTAGAAAAACTAACCTACAAATAAGCTTAACCTGAATTGAAAATGAGCTTCAATGATAAATTTGCAATGAAGATGATGGATTTAAATGAGCTTTAATGGTAGAATCAATGGAGATAAATATATAGAGTTAGGGTTCAAAATGTCTACAGCGAAGTAAAGAAAACTTAACTGGAGAAAATATTTTTAAAAACAAAACATGTACGGAGTGTATTGTACTTCAAAAATTTTATTTCAATTCTTTTTCTTTTTATATTTTTTTAAAATTTTAATAATAATAATAATTTATTTAATAATAAATATTTTTAATCTAATTCAATTTAAAAATATTTAATCAAAATTTACAACATTTTGGTTGCAATATTTATAAATATTGAATCAAATAATAATAAAAACAATTAAATTTAATAAATAAATAAATTATAAAATTTTCTTGCATTGTTTATAAGTATCTTTAAATTATTTATATTTTAAAATTTAATTTAATTTTTTGTAATGATAAAATTAATTAATTAATTTTTTGTACATAAATAAAAAAAATTATTTTAGATTCAAAAAATTATATATTTTGCAGCAAATATTTTCTACACTAATTTTGGCAATAAAATTTATAGGTTATTAAGTTTTGCAAATTTACATACAATTTTTTTTATAAACATTTTGACACAAGAATATATAGAAAATAATCATATTTGATTTACTTTTTTAAAAACTATTTTTAGTTTTTAAAAATAAATTATAGTACAAAGTTATACTAAAATTTATTTTTAAAAACAATGTAGGAAGTTGTAAGGATCATTGCAACTTATTTTTCAATTTTTTCTTGAAAAAATTTTTGGCAATAAAATTATAAGTTTTTCCTACCTTCTTTTCTAAAATATTTTATAAGAAACTTATTAAATTGCTGCAAATTTTTATTCAAAAAATTTTCATTGGAAATAATTAAATTTTTCTGAAAAATTTTATAATTTTTCTAGAAAAGAATTCACATATAATAACTACAGTTCTAGTAGTAATAATTGTTAATATATTTTATTATTAAATAAAATTCCTTGCTAATTTATTTTAAAAATATGAAATATTTTTGTAATATTTAACACAATCTATATTGAAAAAACATAGAACATGTTTCCTCGGATTAGCACAATTAGTTAAATTATGGGACCTAAATTATTAGTATACTAAATTATTTTTTTTTAATATATATATATATATAATATTTTTTATTCTCTTATTTCTTGTTTTTTCTTTTCTTCGCTCTTGTAAAATTTATCATAAATTTCTTTTAAAATAATATATAAAATATTTTTTAATGTATGTTTAAGTACACAATAAAAACTTATATATAATAATTTTTTATTAAAAATCATAAGATATTATGAAACTTAATACATTAATAATATTATATTATAATTATAATTTATTATTTATTATTTACTTTTTATGTATTTTTTTAACATACGTTAGTAATATTAGACATTATAATTTAATAAACAATTATTTTTAATAAAAATTAACCATAAATGATGTTCTAGTATAATAAAAAAAAGATAAATTTTCTCTATAATTTTTTATTTTAGTTTCTAATATTTTAAAAATATTAACTTTTTACTTCTTGCACTGATAGTTTATATAAAAAAAATGACGCACAATGTAAAAAATTAATGAGTGATGGCATGTGAAATAATTCATCATTTAACGGTTATTAAGGCTAAAATAACAAATTTTTAAAGCTACAGAGATTAAAACAAAATAAATAATTCTGTAAAAGCAAAAAGTATAATGTGATATGTATATAAAATTTGATGTCAACGTCACAGTGTCCGAAGTCATTTAATTTTTTCCCGCGGAATCCGCTGCTGATCACAATCCAACTCCAACTGTCTCTCCCACTCCATTAAGACTCTCCCCATTCCCTCATTACTCCAAACCACAAATTCCATCTTCCCTTTCTCTGCTCTCCCTTCTCCTCTCATGTCCACGGCGGCTGCGCCATCTTCCGCCGCCACCACCACTGCTACAACCGGCGTCGGTCTCGGCTACGGCATCGCCATCGCCGTCAGCATCCTCGTCCTCATCTCCACCATCATGCTCGCCTCCTACGCCTGCGTCAGAATCAAGGCCAATGACCGACGCGGCACCTATTACAGCAACAATCACAATGATAACCATAACAGAGAAAACATTACCCATGATTCGGGTGGGCCTGTGATTGTCATGGGCTTGGAAAAGTCCATGGTTGACGCCTACCCGAAGATGGTCATTGGAGAGAGCAGGAGGCTACCCAAGCCCAATGAAGGCCCATGTGCCATCTGTTTGTCTGAGTATCTTCCTCAAGAGACGATACGGTGCGTTCCGGACTGTCACCATTGCTTCCATGTCGAGTGTGTGGACGAGTGGCTGCGGACGAGTGCCACGTGTCCGCTGTGTCGGAACTCTCCCGCTCCTACGCCGGCGGCCACTCCTCTGTCGGAACTGGTTCCTCTGGCTTTCCACGCCAGGTGAATGATTGGTTCTTGTTTTGTAAGTTATGGCTAATATTGCTTTTTAATTTTTTTAATATTAACCAATTTGTCGAAATAAAGTTTTAATACGGTTTCGTAATTTTATATTTTCAATTTTTCAATAGCATTGCTTTGGGATTCTGGTTTCGAACTTTAGTGCAATATCATAGCATTAAATTAATCATTTTATCATTATAAAATATTAATCACAAATCTGCAACATATATGTTCAACTGAATTGAACTTTCTATGTGTTGCCTTTAAAGGGAAGGAGAGAGTAGAGGAATCTATAAGTTAGTTCCCTAACCTTGAAGAATTTTTTCAATATGAGAAACTGACAATGGTTTTTTCATTTATTTTTGTGGTGTGACATAAAGGTTGTGATGTGAACAATATTATGCACAATTTCTGTGTATGTTTGGATTTAAGTTGGAAGACTTGTAAACATAAATTCAATGCAGCAGGACATTAAAAAAATAGGTTGATTCATACACAAATCTAAACATGCTATTAGAAATGAAGTGAAAAGTGAAGAGAGATTTTGAAGATCTAACGATGACACCATAAAAATAAAAACTAGAAGTCAGCCAATTAAAATGCCTACATTCTGATATTTAAGTATTCGCTATATATTGGTATATATTGTAGAAATTTCATTCATCACTTCATAATTATTAAACATTCATCACAAATGTGCAAACACACATCCCCACACAAGGTCAACTAGCCTAAGCTTTCTATGACTTAAAGCTTTATGCAGAGCTAAACATTATGTAGCATTTAAAGAGTAGTGGAATACTGTGTGAGGGAATTTTTCACTTTAGAAACCATCAGTTATTATAACTGCTGCATCATAATATGTTGTGATGTGAACGGTTGTTACTTGTTCTTAAAGGGATAAGGCTTTGTTTGGTAGATCGAAAGAAAGTGTTTAAAAAATAAGAGAGAAGAAAGGAAGAAATAATTAATATAAAACTCTTCAAATTGAAAAAACTTAAAAATGTATTAGAAGTGTTTTGGAGGTTTTATAAAATTTATTTTCTCGTTTGAAAATCTCTAAAAAAAGGATAATTAGTTTGAAAGTCTTCTCTTTCTTTCATATATTTTTTAAAAATTAACTTTCAAATAAAGTCTAAGAAACTAAATATTATGATCAGTTCATATTTAAAGACACTAGTGTTAAAATATTAAGTTGTACAAGCTATGTAATCTACATAACAGACTATTATGTCAGAGATTAATAGAATAATTTAAAAAATAATAGACTAATATGCATTATTTTTGTTTGAGTGCCTAATTTTAGTTCTTACTATGTCAAAACAATGCCTTTAGGCTGCTACACCTATCCCTAGTGTAAATAACAGAAGGAACTAAACACCGCTAAAAAATTGGTAAGGTTTGAGAATGAAAGTGGACTTATCAGCCATCACATTGTAGTCTAAGACTATGAGACCTGTGAGATATATTATTGTCCTCTTAGTTCATGTAATGGTTTGAGATTGTTCTTCTTTCATAGAGTATGTTTAGGAAGAGATTTTTAAAGGGAAAAAATGACATATTTTTTAATTTTAAATTAAAAGAATTATATATTATTTATAATGACAAATACATTATTAATACATTAAATTTTTTATTAATATATTAATTTATATATTTTACTTTTAAAAATATTAATATTAAATGTATTTATTTAAAATATAATTTTTATTCTTCTTTTCCCTCCCTCCTTTCTCCTCCCTCCTTTCTCCTCCCTTTTCTCAAAATATTCTTCTGAAATTGCGGAAAATGTTGCTAGTGAAATTAGAGTATTCCAATATTCAACTTTTATATTTATCGTCTAGTTACCAAATATCCTAAATAACTGAGCGAGAAACAGGCCTACCTTATAAAGTAGGAAAAAAAATCAGTTTCTCTCCCTCACTGCAATTTATGCTAATATCATTCAACGCCCTTTAGTTTTGACTTTGTTACTTTATAGTGGTTTCTGTCCGTTACTTAAATCTTAACGGTCAAAAGATATTTGAATTATTCACTGCTACCTCAATTAGTACGCCTGCAGGATTACTACAAAATTCCAAATTCCTCGAGAAATTCACAATACCTTTCCTTTAAAGCAAAGCTATTTGATGCAAAAGCTAGCTATTCATGTGAAAATTATAGCAATTTTTTTAATAACCAATCATAGTTGAAGAAAGAACGAACAAACAAAAGTAGTAAAGTCGATCAAATGCGAGAAACTTTTTTTTTTTTTTTCAATTTTCTCTATTCTAGAATGGTATAAACTGTTTGTTTTGGTATAGACGGACAGTGAATTGAATTGCAATGTGCACCAACAGGGGAATTTTTTTCTGATATTTTTTAAACCATGATATGATTTGATTTGTGAAGTATTTTTTATTAGTTTATCGTCCGAAGAAGCACTACATCAAGAGCACTTTTTATGCATACATGTTATGTTCACTGTAAACACAATTTTTTTCCGGCGCATTATGCTAAAAATGCAGTGTTATAGTATTTCTGCACATTTTTTTTACATCATTTTCCAGCACTATGTTTATCCTGGTGTAATATGTAAGAAAATATTATATTGCATAATAAATGCTATAACAAAAATGCATTTACAGCGCTCAAAAGAAGATGCATGGTAATAAATGACTTTATTTCAATGCTTAATAAATGCAAGTGATGTAATACATTAAACTATTACACCGCATATTAGGAGAAAATGTTGATGCTTTAACGTCCATAATTGTGGAAAGAGTTGAAGATTCACCGACTCATGCGTGTTAAAATGTCCAAGAGAGACACGTTTTTGACTTAACGGGAATTTGCAGTATAAATTTATTTAAGCAAATTTTAAGTAAATTTGATAAAAAAAATTAATTTTTTTAAGTAAAAAAATTACTTAAGTTAAAATTGTAAAAAAATTTAACATTTTATCTTTTTTTCAAACTATAAAAAATTTGAAGAATCATTATAAAAAAATCTTGCATTTATCATATCACTAAATATTTTAAATGTATTATTTAGTATGCTATTCATGCTAAGTATTAGTGAGATGTAACTATTTAGAGTTGAGTTAAATTATTGAGAATGATGATAAGGATTATAGAAATGATATTTTGAAAAATTTGTCAAAAAACAATTGTAGTATCACATGAGTTGGGACCTTTAGATTTTGTAGTATGATCACAAAATATGACCTCATAATCTTACACAAATTTTTTTCAAATTTTATGTAATTTAGAGAGAAAAAAGATGAAATTTTAAAAAATTTTGCAATTTTAACTTAAGTAATTTTTTTTTTACTTTAAACGAAAATCACTTTTTTATTTAATTAGCTTAAGTAAATTTATTTTAGCTTAACCAATTTTTTTTCTTTCAAAATTGCTTAAATAAATGTTTTTTGCCTAAGCAAATTTAGACTCTATGCTATAATTTCTACTAAAACTATAGAAGTTCTAGATCCATAAAAATGCTCATAACCAATGTTTTAATACTAAATTTGATGAAAATTATAAAAAAATATAATTATTACAAAAATAAAAGAGTTTTTGTTACAGTGAGTCATTTTTTTACAATTAATTCAATTTATACAATTGTATTTTCATTTTTTTTTTGTCTCTTCTCTACTTTCCTAGGGTATGTGAATATTACTTTGAGGGATCAAGAGTCTTGCAAGAGATTCCTATGAAGAATTCTATCTTCTTTCATCTTATTTTTGTTTGCATTTATGCTATTATGTGTATTTAAACATATGTGATTATGAGATGATGAATTAGTAATTTTTTATGAAAATTTATTTGATTTTACAAAGCTACTTGCAAACCCCTTTAGAATCAACTTACATGTCTCTTCTATTGTTCAAATATTCCAATCTTAACACAATGTCTATCCTTGATCTAATCTTTATGTGACATATGCAGAAGTCTGTGGCTGCAATTTTGATAAATTTGGCCTATCAATAAGCTCTTAATTAATGAAGGAAAATTGTGTTATTATTAGTTATTTTTTATATATACTCACAAGCTCTGAATCAGGTTTGGACAGTAGAGTAAGTTTTAACTTAATTAAATTCTACCATTTTGGATATATGATGTTTTTCCAATATTTACATTAACTTTATCAGTTCTAGACTAATGTGACCTCAAATTTTACCATGAGAGTGTGTGAAAGTCCCGCTTCATCTCATCATCTACTTAACCCTCTCTCTTATTTCAAGATTAACGCTTCCAAAAATATGTAAGTGATTGTATTTGAACCCAAATCAATTGAAACCCAAAAAACTATTCACATTAGTGCAAAATAAAATATTTCAACTTAATCTTCCATGAATTAAAATCAAGGGTTTTTAGCTTCATACCTTATATAACCTAAACATATACTAAGTTGTATTTTATGAATACATTTTTAGTAAATTTTTAAGAAAGTACAATGGTCCAGCAAATTTAAAGAGAATTACGCTTTTGTGTCAAAAAGCTAAGTAGATATAGATTACTTGCATGGGTGGGCATCAGTCGGCTTTGGGTTTTGAAATTCAGAACCGATGCTAGCCGACACAAGCTACAGCTGAATCAATTCTAACCATGCGTTCATGGATATTTCGAGTTTTGGATACAGTGGTTTTCGGTCTTCTTTGGTTAATTTTTATGCGAATTATTTGTATTTGTCAGTTATTTTTGTGCGATTTCATATAAGGGATTTTTGTGCGAATTATTTAGATTAATGCAGTTTTATTTTTCTTTTAATTTAGTTTACTTTTCTTTTATTTTAGTTTTTATAATTTTTTCTGGGCCATGTATTTTGACATTAAGAATAGATGCTTGCTGTATTTGAATTTTAATCAATTAAATGTGTTTACCATTTTTACAACCTTTAATCAATGCCTTGAACATGCAATCCATTGCTACCACCGCGGTACTAATGATGTGAGCAGTTACAAAATATTTGCATTACCATAAAAAGGTATTAAAGGACTTTCCCATTTCAACCCAATCTCCCGTAAATATTTGTATTATACCAAGAAATCTCAAATTTGAAGCACACACTCTCGTATCTAAGGCACAATA